CATCTCATACTAGGTTAAGTGTTCAAAACACACTTGGTTTCCTTCTCCTCCATTTCCCAGAGAAAACAGTGCTCCTTAATCATAACTTTCTGTAAATACTTTCAGAATTCTTCAATCCTACCTGCAATTTTCAGTAGTGTCTGTCTTTCAGACACAATTCCATGACACTCCTAAATACTAAATTATACTCAAACCACTCAGCAATATAGAAGCAGCCCTACTCCCCACTCAGTGCAGTATGCTCCCTCAGACGAAGGTACAGCAAGACAGACAATGCTAAGTTAGTTAATTCTGAAGCTCATTTTAATTCTTTTTTTTTCCCCCTCTCAAAAAATCATTTAAAAAAGGGGAAACCCTTTACTCTTCACTGGTACCAAGGAATCAAGTCCCTCAAATTCAAATCCCATGCCCCTTCCCCTCCACGTAGGACCACAAGTGCGGCTATGTAAGCATAAACCAGGGCTCAAGATAAGCAGAACTCTGAGGAAGCAAAGTGCACGTTCAGACTGTTTCAATAGAAGGATCTACACGAATAACTTGCTAACATTTACGCTAACACAAGTCCTATCTTGTAAATAACACACGCATTTAGGAGCACATCAACTTAACATAAGGAAATGCATCCACTATGTAAGTACTGCAACTGTGTTACTGTTCATTTATAAACAAATAATGCCTAATAAAACAACTCTCTGTGATGTGGTCTGCTGGCAGAGCTCTGCACTGACAGACAAGATTCCTGAACTCAATTCCAAGCTTTCATGCTGCAGATTTGAAGTGCTTTGGTGCAGCTCAATCATTCCAACAAAAGCTCGTAGAATTACAGAGGGAAGAACAGTGCCACTCCAAAAATTTCAGTAAGAAGTACAAAGAACATGACCCTTACAGGTATGTCAAAGTGTTTTGGATTAAGCTTTTTTTTTTTCTCCTTTTTTTTTTTTTTTTTTTTTTTTTCCTTCTAAGAGATATGCCTTCCTGTCTGTCTATGGAGTTATGGAGTTGCAAGCAAATATATTTAGATTCTTTTATCATTTCTTTAGCCATCACTACATTACAGTAGGCATTGCACTAAAATGACTGATTTCATCCTTCTTGAGTTCTACGTGTCACTGCCTTCAGACTGTGGGAGCATCAAAGCTGGTCACAACTACATCTTTAATGCACTCTATCTATAGTTTGATAAGAGAACTTACATTAGAGATGATCTAACAAGCTCCAGCTTTAAAGCTGCAACAAGTTTCACTCACCTCATCTGTAATATATCCTAATAAAGAAAAATATTTGACAACACCCTGGTCAATATTCACATATCACTTGAGTTAAAAATGTCCTTATGACACTTCTTGCTAACAGATGGCAAAACTACAATTAATGCCTGCTACGTTTGCTGCATTCACATTTGAACACCAGTCTACAATTACTATAAGAGGTTAAGGTTACTTAGGCAGAACCCAAAGACCAAACTAATACCTTTCATTACTAAAGAAGCACTGTCACACAACAAAATCTTGCTAGCAATTTCAACCCATGGCTAAACAAAGCAAGATCAGATATGTTAAGGTCACATCACCTTCAAAAGGCAACAAAGAACCAACCAATTTTTCTTTAAGCACACTGGAGATACCGTCATTTGTTAGTTAAGCATCATTTGCTTTTCTGTTTCTCCCACAATACACATGTTTACAATGACTTCTAAAATAAATTCTAAAATCAAAACACCATAAAACAAGAAAACCTCTCAAGCAACCCCCTCCCATCATCCCAAATAAACATCCCAGTCCAACAAATCAGCACGTTACCAGATGTTACCGTGTAATTTTTAACTAGCAAAAAACCCCATCCTCTTCCTTGTTGAGGGCTAATAATTTCTAAAACCACTGCCAATACATCATCTACTAAAAAATCCCACCCAGATGCTCTTTGTGCTCAATTCAGTTTTAAAATCCAATGTCCAATCTACTATAGGGTGCAATTATGGAATAAGGTTATATCCATATTATCTTCAATCAACAACACAACTTACCATGATAATCACAAAGCCAAGAAAAGCCACTATCAAAAGTACAAGAAAAAAGGCAGTCAAAAAATTAACATGAAAGAACAGAAAATATGCAATCTGATCAATGTAAGACTTTACAGCTGAAGAAATCACCATTCATTTGAAACAGATTTTATTATTCAAATCAACTGAGAACTTTTCTGTAATTTACACAAATATAGCACACAGTTGCCCTTCTGTAGCTTTTTTTTTTGAATGTTTTTCAATTAATGCCAACTTTGTAATCATAATTAATGTCTCAATTTCACAGAGTAGAAAATGAGAATGCTTTCTTCCAAATTATTGTGTGTGTTCAAACAACAAATTTTATGACTTTACCACAACACAAAAACAGTATTTGTATTATAGGAGGCTGTACTGTTTCTGGCATCATAATTGACATTTCAAGAAATCCTCAGCATTTGTAGCACACGCATAAAAAACAAACAAAAACACCCAACCCCCACCCAAAAAAGCAACCCTCCACCTCAAAAATCTCCTTTTGCATAACATTAGCAAATGTATGAATGAGAACTATGAGCATTTGATTTCAAAAAAAGAAAAAAGCCCACAAACCCTGAGCCCTGAATTAACATCAGTGCAGTTATATTCTACAGCACTAGCAAGAAGAGGAAAATTACTACAAATTAACAACAACAATTCCTATATTTAATGTTATTTAAAAATCAAAGTGTTACCTAAGGCAATTACCTTGCAGCCTTTTAATATCTACAGGGAAAAGCCTAAGGGAAAATAATTGACTTTGCTAATTTTACCCTTGGCAATTATAAAATAGCTCTGCATTTCATTATGACTACAGAATTTCACATCTAATTGTCAGCCCCGAGAGAAGCAAAGAGATAAATGCATCATATGCAAGCTTAGACAAGAGTTTAATGGCACAATAAAATTATCTTGGTAGCAGTGGTACCAGGTAATGTTCAAATCCCCTTTAAATTCTAGATGATACAACAATTATGCATGCCTAAATAGAGGTTATAGTCTACCACGGTCAGTGCCACGTACAATGCATGCTGCTCATTTCACCAGCCAATTTGATGAGCTATCAAACGAGTGCTAGCAAAAAGCAGCACTGAGATTTTTACTTTTTCCATCAAAGAAAACAAAACATTATGAAGGAAAAAAGTCACAGTTATTTCACACTGCTGAAAAACAGATGCCAGATTTGAAAATTCATCATTTACAAAAGAATAAATACAGTATGTTTAAATCATTGCACCTGTCAAGAAATTTCTATAGCTTGTACTTCAATTTTTCTAACTTTGCTAGTGGGGTTAGACATATGAAAAAGAATAATTTACTAAGTCAATCAGTTCCCATAATGGCATCCCACTTATCGCATCTAGAAGCTATGAAAGTATTTAGATGTCAGAAAAATGAAAAAAGTGCTAAAATGTTTTGGCAGGATTTTTCAGACATACAATATGATTACTTCTTAAAAAATAGTAAGGAAAAAAAGGGAGGGGGAAATATTTCTTTGCACTTGTGTTTCATTTCACTGTAGGCTTGCTTCCTGGCAAGCCTTAAGGGAGTTGTTGCTGCAATACTTAATGATGGAATAAATGCAAAGTAGTAGATGCTGCATTTTATAAAATGTTCCCACAGAAGAGGAAACAACAACAACAAAAAATTAAGTAGAGTTAAATGCTTTGCTTTGTTTTCAGATTCTTATTATGTACGAAAAAAATTAATGGACACAAATCAACAATAATTATTAAAACTACCACCCATTTTTATTACGGTATACCTAAAACTCTTCACAAAACTTCTAAAAAATATTTACGATCGGTTCTCCCTGTAGCAGCTTAACCCAATATTCAAGCAGATTGACACCTGATCTCTTGCCCTTCTTCTGAATATCAGCTCTACACTGTGAAATGACACCACATTTGTGACACATTGTCATAACGATGATCAAAGCAGTATATACAGGAAATACTCAACTGTAACCATCATGAGGAACTTCAGAAGAAGTTAAAAACGATGCACTCATTAAGCTAAGAATTAAAACTGTGTTGATCATTGACATTCATACACATGACATGCTTATTTTCCATTAAGATATGCAAGAAATGTTCACGTGAATTAAGGTTTCCCTATCAAGAAGAACAGTTTTCAGTCCACAAAACTCCAGCCATACACGTAGCTAGGTGATACACACTAGACTGCAGAGGGATGCTCATGAATCTCTCTCCACCATGACAAATTTTAAGGAGAAGCTAGACAAATCAAGAATGATTTTGTGCAGCTGATTCTGTCTGGGGACAGAAAAACCAACCAGAAAGATGATTTCTCAAGTTTTCCATCAGATTCATTTTGTAAGATCACACATATACACAACTTGTTCATCATGAAAAACATTGCCTATTAGGTTTGGTGGATTAGCTGACTTGCAGATGCCTTTTGGAAGCCAGTACGTCCATGTTAATTGGGCAATCCAATACTCAAGGATGACCAAATGCCTAACAAAATAATTTTATTACCTGAGAGCTGCATACACAAGAGGTTAAGTGTCTTCCCTTATGAATTCTCTACGACAGTCAAACTTTTCACAAAGCTGAAGGTGAAACACCAAACCAAAAGTGCCTGCAGACGGCAGCCTGCTAGAGGGGCTCTACTTCAAGGTGTCACAAGGATGCCACAGCACACAGCTAAAATCCACCAAACTAACCAGTCATTCATCACTACCTATAGCTACATTGCTTCAGAACATCCACTGAAGCTGTCAGCACAGCAATTCTACACGATAGTGGTAGACATTCACAGCAGTAGCATACTGTTAATCCATCCACAGCTACAGTATAAGCATGCTGATTTTTAAAGGGTGTTCCACAGATAAACAACACACCATAACTAAGCCGATTTTCTAATGGACTTCTGTTTTAGAAGATTTACTAATAGTTGCTTTGGCAGTAAAAGAATTTTTATTTTTTATTTTTACCTTGGTATTCTGTAACTGAGCAAGACTTGTGCAAGCATTTGCGAGCAGAAAATCTCCACTCAGAACAGCCATTTTATTCCCAAATTGCATATCCTTCAGCGGGCCATCACAGGACTTGAGCTCACCAATGTTCACTATGCCTCGATGCACCAGAAAGGCAGTGTGGATCAGTTCCGTAATCTCTGCAAGACTTCTTTGACTGAAAGTAAAGAAAAAGTACAATTACTTTGAAGCTATGAATAAAATAAAGATTTCAGGGGGGAAAAAATAGGCCATGCTAAGCTATACGCTAAGGTAATATTTATTTATTTTCAGATGCAACATTAAGCATAGACAGAATCACATCACACCACCAAGAATTTCCAGATAGGCTGCTGGTACCATTGGTTCTGCTCCGGGGAACACTGCCTTTTGTTTGAATTCTCCAAAAGAACAAAGCTAAGTAATCAATATGGTTCTCACCGCATTTTCTTTTTAGTTTTGTCTGCAGAAGCTTGAGGGACAACAGCGTGAAGAAATTAGAATAATAGAATCATAGAATCACTCAGGTTGGAAAAGACCGTAAAGAACATCAAGTCCAACCACAGCCAAACCAGACTACCCTAACTCTAAGAACCCTCTGCTAAATCATGTCCCTGAGCACCACATCCAAGCAGTTTTTAAACACATCAGGAATGGTGACTCAACCACCTCCATAGGGAGCCTATTCCAGTGCTTAAATTGCCAAACAGAAAGTGTCAGTGGGAATGAACGAAGGACGAGCAAGCTAATGTGAACACTCTAAGAATGCTACAGTAAATGACTGCTCAATTTAGAGTTAAATTAATAACAGGATACTTTGCAGTTCCATAACATCAAGGAGGGTGGGAGACAGCCAGACATATGGTGCACTAGTGACATTTCACTGGTCAGAAGACACAGTGATTCTTGTCCAGCACAGGAACAGGTCAGATTTTATTTGGGTAGCTTCACAAATTGTTTCTCATTCCAACTCACAATGTGCTACCCTCTGAACTCTGGAGCTTCATCCCTGTGAGAACCCCCGCATCAGGCACAATATTTTCACTTTCCTGAGATGAGACTTGCCCTCTATTTTCACTACTTTTTTTTTTTGGAAAAGGCATGAGAAGAGCCAGGTAACCAGTTCTCTTTCTTCTCCTCCTCCTAATTTGGTGCTGTACCCTAGTGACTGCCCCAGGGGCCCCAGGATGAGTTCCTCCCTTGCTCCCACCCACAGCAAGTGATGAGCTGTCAGCAGGCAGAGATGAGGGGAGGGAACAGAGCAGCAGGCAGCAGCACTTTGCCCTGCTGGTTCTGCTCAGCTAGATATGCACAGGGCTGCTCTGATGGAATCATCAGCGTGTTCATGTTTTTTCACATTCAAGCAGTTCCCTCTGTGTGACAGAGACTTAATGTTATCAGCAAAAACATAATGTACATCCTTGATTATAAGGTCTTTAAGTTGAATTGCAACCTAGTACAACAGTACTGGTGAGGCAGTGGCACAGGCTGCCCAGGGAGGTGGTGGAGTCACCACCCCTGGAGGAGTTCAAAATACGTGTAGATGTGGCGCTGAGTGACGTGGTTGTTAGTGGGCACAGTGGTGATGGGCTGGAGGTTGGACTAGGTGATCTTAGTGGTCTTTTCAACTTTAATGATTCTGTGCTCCCTGTGCTTATTCCAATACTGACTAAGCCCCGATTTACTGAGTAAATAAACTGCCTCACATGTTCACATATACATATACTGCACATATGCATATACAGGTTAGGTTCTGGTTCAGCACTTGCAAAGCACTGAGTAAATCAATATTTTTCCTCTGGCTGGTGCAGATGTGTTGCACCCACCGAAACTGACCTGAATGCAACTAACCTCCTGCCCAAATGACTGCAGACACAATGATGCCCAGCAGCACCTGCTTTGGGCCCACAGGCTGTGGCAGCCAGCAGAACAAGAAGTCAGCAAAGCCATGTGGGCTCTGTGGCATGGCAGGGTGGGCGAGTGGGAAAAGTGGAAGCTGTAGTCCCCAGCGTGTTTTGTCACACAGAAAGCAAAGTTGTTTTAAAAGTCACCATTTCTGCTTCATGTGAAGACACTGTGAAAACAAAACAGCTGGCCATTCTCCCTTTAGACAGGAAAATTGGAGGTTGACAGTGTTTTTCAAAGAGGAAAAGCAGCCTCTACAGCCTTCATCCACAGAGCAGTACTGTAATGCTGCTGGCTTGTCTCTAACAAAGGGTTAACAGAATTGCCAGCTTGGAGGAAAGGACTAACAAGACATCCCAATGCTCCTGCTGTCACTGTCACAGCAGCCCTTGGAGGAAATGTCCCTATCAATTCGGTTTATCAGATGGACAGCTGATCAACATGAAACAGCCTTGCTCTGGGCAGACTGAGCTGAGCTACCTGGCATGAATAGCAATGAGGGCCCGCTGCCCGCAGCCAACCCTGCCACCTCAGGCTGCACAGATCCCAGGACATATGGGGATCCCTGGTGACGAGCAAAGCGCTGTCGCCAGCTCCAGTGATGGTTCATTTCCCCCAGCTGAAAGCAGACATTAATATCCTGAGGAGACTGGGCCCGCCTCTGCGACCTCCAGCCATTGAAGCAAAGCAGCAACTGTCCCATTTCTTCCTTTAATAAGCTTTTAATGAAGGAAATCAAAATCTCCTCTTTGACTTCAGCATTGCTCTTCATTCTAAGGTTACACAAATACATCAGTGTCACGCTTTCCAAATGCACAGGATCTAGATGTTTTCATTCCATTTTTTTATAATCCATTTGTTCTCGTAACGACACTCGTATTATTTGTGCTAACAAGAGAACCGTATTACGAAGATAATCTGCATCTAATCCTGATCTTACACACTGCTCTGCTACCCTCTCTCTTGAGTCAGCTAAAGATAGAAGAAACAAAGCCACTGTAAAAATCCCAGGCAATGCCTTTCCTAATGTCTTTCTGTGATAACACCCACAATACTGAGGCACTAAATGGACTCCACGGTGCTGCTATGGATACAAAGGAGGTCTTGACGTGACTTTGAAAAGTACAGCACCCAACAAACAGGCACACACAACGCAAAAAAACAAACTAAAACAAATCAACACCCAACACTGTTATGAACTTGCTACTGAATGCCCGAAGCAATACCATACACGGCTTTCTCAATCTGAGGTACAATTCAGCGATTCAATAGTTCTGTGTTTGAAAGCACATAATCCCCACATACAAAAAGCTAGTGTTGGAAGAAATGCTGGACTTATGACAGAAACATCTGATAGAGTACCAAGGCAGAACAATAGGGCAACCAGATTATGAACTCCTGCTGCTTCCATTCTCATATAACAAAAAGGGAGCGCAGTAGCCACCAGAATCACTGACATCACAAGGTAGCACCCAGAAAACAATCGGCTTTTTATATTTTTTTTTTCCAATATGAAAGTTTGTGTGTTGTTAAAATAGAAGCAGAAGTGTTTTTCCATCAAATGTCAACAAACTTCCATTTATCTTTCATGCCCTTTGCCACTAAAGCAAGGACACACTGCAAACCACCACCAACTGCCCCAGAGACCCAAATTCTAGCCATAACATTGCAAGAGATTGTATTATTTCAATCTCCACAAGTCACTCAATCTCCTCTTTCTCCCTTTGCAGAAAATGACCCACGTGTAATGATATCATTCCAGAAAGGATGGTACAGAGGCTTGACAGAACAAGGAAGACCTTAACAAGAAGTTTTGATGGGTCACAGTCAAACAGGTACAAGTTCCGCTGTTAGCTGCATTACCTATGTGGGGTTAAAAAAACAGCCCTCTCCCTCCACCTCAACTAAGAGAATCACAGGATGGGACTTCTGTACTCAACCAGCCCAACCCCTGCTCCAGCAGGGACACTCACAGCAGGGTGCCCAGGCCCACATCCTGGCAGCTTCTGAAGATTTCCATGGAGGAGAGAGCCTCCGGGCAGCTTGTGAGCAGGACAAGACAGACTGGTTCATTAGCCTTTCAAGCCAATTACTGTCTACAGTTTTAGTGAATATCTATTTTCTCTCTTCCAGTCTTTAGTAAGATCCTTGAGTTTGTTTACAGTTCTTTTCTTGCTCTACTCTTCATGAAAATCTCAATTCAGAGCTTTGTATTGCCTGAGGCATACAAAATGAGGCAGCATCAACACTGTCTCTTGTTTTTTTGCTCACTCCTTGTTTATGCAAGTTTAAAGCACCTGTATAACTAATCTAAACGTGTGTAAAGTAGCACATCATGGTTGGAAATATCCTGAAAAGTAGAAAGGAAACACGGATATTTCTAAGAGTCAATAACACCGCCTTCTCAGCAAGGTCTGGAACTACGCTGACTCTGGGACTGTGAAACAGTAGCTTGCAGGAAAATACTAGGAAGATACAAAATTGAGTTACATAGAGCATTGTATCTCACATCAGAATAAGGAGAGCTATTTCTGTTCTTTGCTCCTTTGCCCCAGTAAATTCAACACAGACCTTTGGCATTCAAGTATGTTTTGGTGAAATTTGATAAACTGCTGAACATACTTCAACAAATCCTTCAGATCTGCCCTTATAAACCGACCCAGGAGGTGCAACAGTGTGCTGCTGTGACACCATCAGCCCAGGGAAGGAAGACAGCTTCTATATGAAACCCACGCACAGGTAGGCACCAGACCCATGGAGAAGAATAAGGCAAACACTTTGTAATTATGCTCCTAAAAGAAAAAAAGAAAAAAGAAAAAGAAAAAAAAAGAAAAAAAGAAGAAAAGAAAAAAAGAAAAAAAAAAAAAAAAAAAAAAAAAAAA